GATGAGCTGGGACATGAACTGAAAACGTTCATTGAGACCCCTTAGAACGTTCAGCACCAGAGTTCGGTCCTGGATGGGCTCATTGAGGTCAGCGAGGGCATCCGCCATGCTCTTCATTTTGCGGCAGTAGTCATCGATGGAGAGGGCACCTTGGCAGAGAGTGTGAAACTCGGCGTCGAGGAGCATGGCGCGGGACTCGCGATTGTTGAGGAACTGCTATTCAATCCCGAGCCATGTTGTCCGGGCGGTGAGGCCGTCGTGCTCATGGATGACGTCCAGGAGGTCGGCGGAGATGGTGTTGAAAAGCCAAGAGAGGACGACGCAGTCCATGCGTGACCATGCCGAATCATAGGGGCGGGAGTCATCGCTGAGGACGTGATCCTTCAAGGCGAAACGGCCGAGGATGAGGAGGACGTAGCCGCGCCACTTGGAGTAGTTGGAGGATTGAAGATCAAGAACGATAGGGATGAGGTTCTTGATGTTCTGGATGGCAGCAGCTTGAGTGTGGAGGTGGGCGATGGCCGCTGCTTCAGAGGAGGCGGAGTGGACGTCATCATCCTCCGGATGCTCGAGGCGGAGGCGATCCCAAAGGGCCACGGCCTACTGCTCTAGGGTATCTGCCTGCACGCGCTCTTTGTCAAGAGCAGCAGCGGCGGTGCGGACACGCTCCTGGGCGGCGGCAGCGAACTTGAGAAGGGCAGCTTCTTCCTCGAGCTATTGGCTGCGCTCTGTGTTGGTGGAGCGCAGAGAGGATGCCTCATCCTCTAGGCGCTTGGCAGCAGAGAGGGCTTCGTCGCGGAGCTTGGTCGCGGTAGCCATGGCGGAGGAGCTAGAGGTGGCCATGGGCGCCCGCAGCAGCCTGGGGTGGGTGGAGTGGGAGTGGAAGCAGAAGGATCGATGGTTTAGTCTGATACCATGATAGACAATAGCCTAACAGGCTTAGATTCCTTGAATTGAGTTTACAGAAGAGATTACATATAAAAAGAGAGGAGGAGGGTGACCCAAAGGGCCAGCCGAGTCCTAAGAGGCCAGCCGAACCCCAAGGGGCCAGCTAGGCATTAACTCAGCACAGCTAGGTAGGAGATTAAAGCTAGGAGATTACACAAGTAACTAGGTGATTAAAGTAAATAGCAATATTAATTCTAACACTTTTGTTTACTTGCATTTACACATGGTTGACTTGACCTTACATTGAAAATCGAGTGTATTTCTTGCCAGCAAGCAGGCAAAATATAATGTATTAGCAAGAAAATGCTCCATAGATATAACACTCTAAAATTTGCTCTTTTTGAAATAGATGTAAATTGAGGTAATTTTGAATTTTTGTGCTCATTAAAACATAGGGAAATAATGATTTTTCATTAAATTAAAATTCATCATAAGGAGTAGCAATATGGATGTGCATACATGCCGGTTCATTTGATCTATTGTAATGAGTGGTTGAATCCAAAATTCAAAATGAATTTAAAATGCTTTTGAAACTGGCTTTGAAGTAAAAGAAAAGAAAAATAGAAAATAAAAGCATTTAAAAAGTTGTAAAAAATTATTTTTGAAAACTTACCAAAATTTCTCATTTTTATTTGAGTTGAAAAGTATATTTGAAACTATATTTGAATTGATTTGACTTTGGATTTCAAAATTTCTTTGGAAAATTTGAGAAGAAAAAGAAAAGGGATTCTTTCTCTATTCCCCTTCCTCCCTGGTTTTGGCCCGAAGGCCCATCACCGCAGCTGCTCTCCTTTTTCCCACTAGGCCCCAGCCCTTTTCTCCCTCTCTTTTGGTTTCGGCCCAGCCGCAGCAGCGTCGGCCCCTTCTCCTCTCACGCGTAGGCCAAGCAAGCATCCCAACAAAACCTCGGCCCAACTCAGGCAGGCTGGCCCAGCCACAAAGCCGCGCCGACGCGTCCGCCCTCCCTTTCTCTTACGTCGACTGGTGGGACCCGTCTGTCAGTTTTCTTCATCCTCGCGTCACCGGACTCTGCTCCACCGACGGGAGTCCGCGCTGCCCCCGCACCCTTACCAGCAACCATAGCATGCCTAGCCGCTCTCGCTTGAGCTCGCACCACCGCCGCCGAGCTGGGAGTCCGCCGTTGCTCCAACTCCGCCCCGTATCCGCCCGATTCGGCGTGACCTCCACGCTAAGCTCCCTATAAAGCTCTGCGACCCCCTCCGCATCCATCTGCTCTGCCGCTCTAGCCTTGGCTTCGCATTGCCGCCGTGTTTCAGATCTCGCTAAGCTCGTGTTCACCCGCCGCCTTTGGTCTCCACCCCGGCAGCCCTTCCGACGTCGGGAACCCCCTTGGTGAGTTCGCCTCGTCCTCCTCTCTCTTTATGTGATTTTCCCGCGTCCAATGATGCCCGGAGTCGTCACCTGGACAAACTCCGGTGAAGCCGAACTGACCCAGCCATGGCGCCGCCACCTGGAAGTAGCACACCGGCAAACTCATCCCCAAGCCACCCCATCCGTCTGATCTCGATCGGATGATCTCAATTAGAGCATACCCCTTCGCTTCATAATCGGTGCACCGTAGACCCATGAACCCTGCCCACGGTGACACCTCAGCCGGTCCACCGCTAGCTTACCAGCGTGGCCCAGTCCCCTTCTGCCACGCGTCGTCCACGTGGACAATGACCGGGTCAACTCCGCCAACTCCGGCCGTTTTACAAAAGAGACCCCGAGTTTTTATGAAATCAACCCACCGTCCTGAGTAGTTCAAAAATAATTCAATCAATACCCCTAGTTTTTATGTTTTGACCGTTGTGTTTTTTCAAAAACGACGTCCAGTCCACATGACTGTTTTAATTCGGTTTTTAATTATTTTAATACGAAATTGATTTCAAAATATTTACAGAATTGCCACTACCTTCTGTAGGCCATATCTTCTTCATTTTAACTCCGATTTGACCCGTTCAAATTGCGTTAGGTTCGTATTTACGTTATCTAGATGTTCATACCACTGTTAGATATGTTCTCAACTTTTAAAATTCAAGGTTAGATTTAATTTATTATTTTATTAAAGGAAATCTTGTTTAATTCATATCTTCTACGTTTTAGCTCTGGTTTGACCTGTTCAAGTTGCGCTAGATTCATTACAACGAGATCTACGCGTTAGTAACAATGTTTATCGTGTCACTATTTCTGGAATTTTATGGTTTAAACCCTAATTTGAATAATAATTATGCAACTGGATTTTATAAATAAAATATAATTTGTTTTACTTTAGTTTCATCATTTAAATCTAAATTTGACTTAATTCAAATTATATAAGCTTTTATATAGTTAAAACATATGAAGTTTATAGTTTTATATTTTCTCTTATCAATAGATCTTTCGGAAGCCGTTTCTTTCAAACCGTAGCTCCGATTAGTGTGCCTCTCGCGACTGTGTGTTCATAGCGACGCGTAGAATTGTATTTCAAACTCTTTTACTTATTTTTTTTATGATTGGTGTATTGTTCTAATGTAGATATAATTGTATGTTATGCATGTATGTGTATGGATGTTTGTGTGGTGTTCTACGATTACGTTCAGTCGGTGAGATATACGTGGTGATCAAGAAGAAGAAGAACATTGAAGATTAAAGCTTATCGAATGATCGGTGTTTAAGGCAAGTATAGCATGTGATCATCCTTGTTGTCATATACACCTTTAATCATTTAATTCATGCTGCATATGTCTACCTTGATTACCACTGAGGATTTCCTAGTACTTTGTACCTTGTGCCTTGATACCTATGGGGTATTGCATTGGGTAGCATGATGCTAGCGCTCAACTACAACCATGATCTTGTAACTTGACTAATGGAATATGCAATAAACACTAAAAGATGCTTTTTAGCAACATGGAACAAGGGGGCTAGAGCATTGGACTATTTTATGGTGTTCTAGATTCCTCTACCTAAGGACTTATCTGTAAGCGAATATCCGGGACTTACAGTACAGCTGTGAGGGCTACATGGCTCTGGCTTTAGCTCAGTATGAGGATCTTTTCTAGCTTGTTAGTGGTTACCTTTATGGCGCAAGAGGGGCTCCAATAGGTATGATCTCGGCCTGCCAAGAATGTGCACTTTGATTTCTTGGTATTTTGTTAGTCACTCCTTAGAGGAGGGTTCATGTTTATTGATGGGAAAACATTAGCAGCACTAGCTTGTTAGACGAACCTTTGAAAGGCTTCATAGTGAACCCTGCCGACCTTCCTTGGTAGTGGGTCAAGAGATTGGCCGTCTCGGGCAAAAGGGTAAATCACGACTCACAGTGAAAGTGTACAACCTCTACAGAGTGTAAAACTGGTATATCAGACGTGCTCACGGTCACGAGCGGCCTTGGATCCTTACGAAATAGATGAAGAACACGGATGATACCGATGATGAAGATGCATACTAATGATTACTGTTTATGATGTTCATTATTCATGTTTACCTGATCATATGTTTGTATGGGCTTGTGAATAAACCTATTGCCACCCAATTGCTAAAAGATGACTCATTAAAAGCTAATCGCAGTTAACCAGTGTCAGCCTTTTAAGCCTCATGAACCCCATGTTATATTTGTTGAGTACGACATGTACTTACGCTTCTTTACTTTTTAAATTTTTGAAAAAATCTCGGATGGGTACCAGATTGCTAGTCTGGAGGAGTTAGGCTTGTGATAAACCAGTCAGTTGTCCTTGTGAATTGGAGTCTTCACCTGAAGATCGAAGTTGTCTTTCCGCTGTTTGCTGTCTAAGGATATATCCTTTATACTAAGTATGTTATATATTAAGCATTGTCTATTGATATTACCTTTATTTGTAGCTATAGGTAAGATTTGACTTCCTGAGCTCACATATGGTGTGTATCTGGTTTTGTCCTTAAAACCGGGTAATACAATAGAGATTAGTGTTCAGTCTTCAAAAAAAAGATGATACAACATGTACTCACAAGCAGAACTAGCAGTCAACTGGGGAAAAAGTTGAAGATTTTCATGTGGTGCTGCAATATAAATCAAATTCTGTGGTTCACACTCATAGCTTTGTGCTTTCAACAGCCAATGCAAAATCTTTCCAATAATCCTCAAGACCATCACTTTCATTTTTATGTTTCTCTTCTTCCTCAATAGCCATGTCTGGTGATGTAGCAGTTTGTTGTAAATCCAATGACAAATCAGCTGCTGCTAGACCTGTGTCACCTTTTCTTCTTTGTTTAGGGACAAATGAGTCGAGCATCAGCAAACTGAGGTCTGATCTCCTTCGCTTTTTCTCCGTAGGAAGTGAAAGGAACATTTGTGTTTCTGCTCTCTTCTCCGTTATGCTAGCAGCCTAGAATGAGAAACACGAGTTAAGAGTTGGAATGCAAAGTCTTTCATCATGGTACACATATAGTAGAATAAGCACAACAACAAAGATTTATAGAAGTTAATATTAGTTTTTTTTCTCAAACACGTAGGAGAGCTGCACATCATTATATTAAGAAAATAAAGGGCGTACCCAGTGCAGAGAGCTCCCGCTCTGTGCGGGCCCTGCGGGGTCTGGGGAAGGTTGTCAGTGGCAAGCCTTACCCTCGCCTGTGCAATACGAGGAGACCGCGACTCGAACCCAGGACTTTTCGGTCACAGGCGGTAAGACTCTACCGCTTGCACCAGACCCGCCCTTCATATTAAGAAAAAAAGGGCGTAACCAATGCAAAGAGCTCCGACTCTGTGCGGGGTCTGGGAAAGGGTGTCAGTGGCAAGCCTTACCCTCGCCTGTGCAATGCGAGGAGACCGTGACTCGAACCCGGGACCTTCCGGTCACAACGGTAAGACTCTACCGCTTGCACCAGGCCCGCCCTTCGCCCTTCATATTAAGAAAATAAGTAAAAAAAAAAAAAGGCCTGAGGAGCAGCGAATGCAAGATCTTATGGTATGACCTTCCAATTCCAGTTTGTTAAACTAATAAGAACAAACTGGAATTGGAAGGTCATACCACAAGATCTTGCATTCGCTGCTCCTCAGGCCTTTTCTGCAACACAACTCTCTCAAACTGAATAGATGGTTGCCAACTGGTTTGCAAAGGAAACTGATTCACTAAAGCAGAACCTTGACCATATGGAACAATCTGCGTGTTCTTGGCTCCATAAGCATGCATGGTTTCAAATGCTTGGCTCCCATTAGACGCCATCCTTTCTGTGACATTACTAGCCAATACACATGTTCTGACTTTCTAGCAGTAGCCACTGGCGACGGATCTTTAATAAGGCCACAGAAAATAATCAATTTCTGCATCAGCATTTGTCAGCATAAAGTCACTATGCAGCCCATCACTTTTGAGGATAACTGTAAAGAATATTTTCCTGTAAAAGGACAAAGTATAGTCTTACCAGCATTTCAGCAAGTTCGACACTAGCAGAAATAAGAAATGGAACTCCATCAGTAGAAACTTTTATCAGCCTGCATATTGGTAATCACTTTGACCACTGCAGACTGCAAAACAACCAAGAAACTTTTATCAGCCTGCATATTGGTAATCACTTAGACTGCAAAACAACCAAGAACTTCACATCATCTGCAAAACAATACGCTAAGACTGAATACAAAGATCGGTCGGTTCGGGGTTACAAGGGGAGGGAGGGGAGGGGAGGGGACTTCATAAAAATGGAAACGCTGTAGAACATATGTAGCCAGAGATTAGCACTGTAATTTAACTTTACTACTGCTAGAAACAACAAAATGACAAGTTATTATGGGGAAAACCGGAAAAGGTTAAGCTGAAGCATTACAAGTCATCGGCATCCTCCGCATATAAAGTATTACCACCATGACTACTACCAAGGATTATTATCGATATATGTATTACTGTAGGCCATACCCTGTGGGGGAAAAAATGACTAACTAAAAACTTTCAAACACTTTGAAAACCACATGCCTTATATAGCTTATATAGATTCTTGATAATTGTCAGCTGTAACGCATCATCCATATACATCGAAACTCAATACTGTAATCATAACTGCAAATTTTAGCTTATGACGGAGGAGGGCTCGTCACCAATATTCCTGACAGGAACACTTTCCAGCTTTGAAATGGTGAAACCGGTGCATATCTCTAACAATTATCTCTCGATTCTCCACGGCTGACATATATTTGATAGCTAGATGACAATCCCCACATATACGCAGGTTTTTTATTATCCTGATTGGAGCGGTGCACCCAGAGGTCATCATGAGTCCAAAGGCTACGGCCAGTTTTTCACCATGGTATCTTAATGCAAACTCCCTTTCCTCTTCTTCCAACTCATGCAGCACCGAGTCAGTTTCAGGCGCATAACCAGCATCAGTAATCCTATGGATCAGTTTCTCCAGATATTGATAAATCTCTGGAGTTTTGGGGTGAGACTTCTCACCCATGCGAAACAAATGAGCAACACCAGCAATCTCAATCAAGCTATATCCTATTGGCTTCTTCAATCTTCTCTTGATCATTGTATTCCTCACCTTCTCGACATGGTTCATTTTACCAGATAGAGCGTATATATTAGAAAGCAGCACATGGTGGGATGGATTCTCAGGCTCGATGGCAATCAGTCGCTGAGCAACCTCCACTCCAAGACTGAAATTCTTGTGCATCTTGCATGCACCAAGCATAGCTGTCCAAACTTCAGGCCCAGGCTCTCCGGGTATAGAGTGGTGTATAAACTGCATCGCGTCGTCAAGAAGTCCCGCCCTTCCATACATATCAACCATAGAGCAATAGTGCTCAGCACGAGGGACCAATCCGTAGACACTCTTCATAGAAGCAAAAGCATCTCGACCTTCACTGACCAATCCCGCATGCGCGCACGCAGATAGGACAGCAACAAAAGTGACATCATTGGGTAGTGGCCCTTGCTGTCTCATCAAATCGAATAGCTTGACTGCCTCACCGCCATGTCCGTGCATGCCGTATCCTGCGATCATGGAGGTCCACGTAACCACATTGCGTTCCTGGAGCACGTCGAACCACTCACGAGCCTTGTTCACAAGCCCACACCTGGCGTACATGTTCACAAGCGCAGCACCAAGAACCACATTCATCTCCATCCTTTCAGAAACAATGAGTCTCTCCACTTCACGCCCCAAGTCCAAAGCGCCAGCCTGCGCACAGGCAGAGAGCGTGGCCACAAACGTCGCGGAATCAGGAGCCTCCCCGGCCACCTGCATCTCCCTATACACCTCAATCGCCCAGCCCGCAAGCCCGTTCTGCTCGTACCCTGAAATCATCGCGTTCCAAGCGACCACGCTCCTGTCACGAATCCCGTCGAACAGCTTGCGCGCAACGTCCAGCTTGCCGCACTTGGAGTAGAGCACGACGAGCGCCGTCTGCACGAACCGGTCGGAGCCGAACCCGAGGAGGACGGCGTGGGCGTGCACGCCCATGCCGGCGCGGAGCGCGGACAGGTCCGCGCAGGCCTTGGCGGCGGCGGTGAAGGCGAAGCTGGAGAAAGGGAGCGCGGCGGCGAGGAGGCAGCGGTAGAAGGCGAGGGCGGCGGCGGGGAGGCCGCGGCGCGCGGCGGCGCGCGTGAGGGAGCAGAAGAGGAAGGAGTCGGGCGCCGGGTGGGAGGCGGCGAGGAGGCCGGCGTAGGAGGCGGCGCCCGCCGCGACCGCCAGCGTGGCTAGCTTGGTGGTGAGCGGCAAGGAGCGGGCGTGGCCGGAGACGACGAGGCGCGCGTGGGCTTGCTTCAGAGGGCCCAGGCGCGGGCCGGCGAGGAGGAGGGAGTTGTATTCCGGCGAGCGGTGGTGGTGGTGGGGATCCATACTGCAAACGGAAGGCTCGAATCCGATGGATAAATTGGCCATTTTCTCTCTAATGAATAATGATGCAGACACTGGCACTGCATTTCTTGGCTCCGATGACGGCCTTCCTCTTGCGTTAGCCTACCAATTGTGTTGTGTCATCACATTAGCACGTGTTCCAACGCCCTACTAATCTCTAATCTGCTCACAAGACTTGCTGTGGTGGTGGTCACTTCGATAATCATGGGATTACTGTAGTCGACATACCTCTGCTCAATGAAAAACGTGTCACATGGCACGATCGCGAGGAAAAATCTGCTCACAAGAGGCTTAGTATAACTGTATGAGCATGAGACTGGGACCAATAAGAAGAAAAAAAAAAAGACTACATGTGCGTCGAATTTCTATTTTTTTAAATGGGGATGTGTTGCTCTGCCAAATAACTTCTTTTTTCAAATACTCTTTTGATAGAATTTCTCACCTTGTTATTTGCTTATCATTTTTCGAACTTTTAATGCTTTTATTCATGGACATAGTGTGATTTACCGTTATCGTCGTCACTGAGTTCATATTGAATTGAATAAAATAAATATATGAATTGAACACTGTGCGTGGCTGCGTTTTTTTTAAAAAAAATAGGCAGCCATATTAGGGTGTATGAAACCTTTTTTTTTTTTTTTTGCCAGTACCGAACGCCTTGCATTTAGCTGTCACCAGCCAGCTAGAGAACTACAGCACACGTCCAACCAATGTGTTTGGTTACTGGGTCGGAGGGGGTTGGAACGGGTCGGACCCCTTTCATCCCACGTTTGGTTGTAAAGAGAACTGGGTTGGGTTGAACCCACATGGGTATATTCCCCTTAGATCCGGGTCCGGGTGAATCCTCCAAAATGGAGGGATCGTTTCGACTCAGTTCCTCTCTCACAATCCTATCACCGCTCGCTCACCCCCTCTCCCGCCGCACTTTCTCCTCTCCCATCTCTCCCGGCCGCACTTTTTAGTTGTATAACAATTTTAGCTATTTTTATGAACATGTTGCTTGCTGAAATTTATGTAATTTGTGGTGATAATGTCCATTTCAGCTACATCTTGGTGCTGATTTTGTAATGATACTAATGTCCATTTTGGCTACATCTTGGTGCTGATTTTGTACCGCTACTTTTGTTGATTGTGTTTTTGTGTGGTAGAACAATGGAGGAAGTAGCTGAAGGGCGTGGGGGAACTAATGGGCATGCTACGTGGACATCAACAATGTCTGCTTTAATGCTCTCTCACCTTAATGATTTGGTGGCTGCTGGTTTGAAGACATCAAAGGGCTTTAAGAAACACCTTTTCAATGGTTGTGCTAGGGCTATCAATGAGAAGTTCACCACAAAGGTTTACTGGTGAGCAAGTCAAGAATCATTTGAAAACCTGGCAGAAAAGGTATGCAAAGATAAATAGATTGAAGAAATTGAGTGGTGCCCTCTTTGATGAAGAAAACTGCATGATTACACTAGATGAGGAGCACTACAACGGCCATGTCCATGTAAACTTACCATCTTTTGCTTAGTTCTTGATTCATTGACCAGTGTTAGATTATATTAACTTATTTGTCCTCCATGTCTAGGATCACAGGGCTGATGCTGAGTTCTCGAACAAGCCTCTCTTTCACTACAAAGAGATGGAGGCAATATTTGGCAATACCATGGCTACTGGAAACTTTGCAAAAGACTCAAGTGCACCTCTAGGTAGGGAAGGGGATGAGGTTGAAAGTCAAGAAGAGGGGGATGAGGTTAACGGGCATGGTCCAAGTGATGGGCCTAGCACTCAAGGGGCAACATCTTCTGCTAGTAGACCAAGTAAGAAGGCCAAGGTAGCTGAAATGGAGGAGGATGGGTTGGTTGCCGCTTTCAAAAGTGTAGGTAAGAACCTTGCCGCTGCCATAAAATTGGTTGCTAAACCTGATAATGAGCTGCCAGATGACCTATTTGACATCTTGAACCAACTTCCTGGTTTTAATTCAGCACACATATCTTTCTACTATGCTCATTTGGTGGCAAATCCTCACATTGGCAGAGCTTTCTATAAACCGCCATTTGAGCACAAGTTAAATTGGGTCACAATGTTCATCGCTGAGAAGTTCCCTGGAATGTAAGGGTGATTTAGATGTGTGGGATGTTTCTTTTGTTGGAACTTGAATCTTATGTCAGTGTGTAAGCCTTGAACTTATATTATGTATGGCTTGAACGTGGTGTAACTTGTATTGCCTTGAACTTGGTATATGTAAGTAAGGCTTGAACTTGATTAACGTTGCTCAAGATATATGATTTGGTGTGCCTACTTGCCGCCTTTGTTGAATTGTTGAATTGGTGTGCTCAAGGGACAGGCTTCTGGCTTTTTTGCATGTGTTTATAAACAGAAAGAAAATGAGCATGTCAATTGTTTGTTTGTCTGTCCCTTGAGCAAATGAGAATGGGTGAATTGTTGAATTGGTGTGGTCAACGGACAACTCCGGTTAAGAATTGGTAAATTGTTGAACGTGTGTGTTGAATTGAAACAGCTAATGTGTGTGTGGTAATCTCACCAAGAAGGTGAGCATATTCACTGTCCAACCCGCATCCTCAAACCAAACAGGAGATGGAACCACTCCAACCCACTTTATTCTCCAATCAAAAAAAAAACTAGGTCCAACCCAACCCTGCAACCCAACCCAGTTCACTCTAACCCAGAAAACTGGGTTGGCTCCGACCCAACCCGCATGGGCCCAAAACCAAACGCATGCTAAATTTCCTTTCGCAATCCCAAACGGCAAACCATCCGACAAGTTTTCTTCCAGGTACAAAAGAGGTACCTGGCCGCCACATGTTAGATTCGCCATCTCAAATGAACTGAACGTGTAGCAACAACAAAAGGTAGGCAACGCTATCACAAGCCAAAACAAACAGAAAGCATGCAGATAAGTCGTATTAACTAACTGGATCCATCATAACAAGCAAAGTTTCTAGCCTCATAGGATGTCGTTAAAGAACAACCAACGCCCAACGAGCACCCAGGTGCCACTACCAAGTTCACTCAGCTACTATACAAAGCCATCCAGACAGCCAGGTTGTACTCCCAAAGTTGGTTGCAGTTCAACGATGTGGCTAAACCATCTCATTCTAGCAATTCCTTGCATCTCACAAAACTAGGTTCACTGCTTCACTATACAGCATCAGAAAACGACCATGTGCCCTCACTCCTCACTTCCTCAGAAACAAAAAACAGACTGGCAACAACTTTATGCCCTGTGCACCCATTGTCAATCATCCTGGATAAGATGGATCATAGGGAAGCATTAGACAGACAGCATTAGTGCCCGAACACAGGATCGCATGTCAGAGGAACTTCCAGCTAACCTCATCAGAAATCGTAGTCTTTAAGGTCCTTCTTGGAGTCAGCCAATTCCATCTCCACAATGCACTCCTCTTGGCTGAGAGGCGGGAGCCCATTCTTGTGGCGCGTGTAGTTGTGCTTGTGCCACCCACTCTTGCAGTGCTCTCTGTATAGCTTGTCCTCCACGAGCACATCACACTCATTGCACCTTCTCTGCTGCTTGACTTGTGCATTGCCCTGGCTTTCAGTAGAAATGCTCTGTTTCTGCATTGTCTCACTTATCTGAGCAACAGCATCAGGTTCCTTCACAGGAGCTGCTTGTGGCACTTCGACACTGTCATGTTGCCCCACAGATGGGCCACTTTCTGCGTGTGCTGAGACAGACAGCACTTCGACCCTCCCTTGCACATCCTTCAACCGCTCCTCACACGAGTGCAAAAGAGATGGCTCGATCTCACATACCTGTAAAACATTATCCACAGTTACATGTACTACAACAACGATAATAAGGTTCAGCCCTGAAAAGAATTTTGGTTTCAGCAAATGATTAAATCAGCACCACCAAAAAATAGAAACACTAAAATAGGCTAAGTAGACTTCAATGCTAAGTTCATCATGCAAGGAACAGTGTATTACGATCAAGCTCCCGCTTCTAATATCCACCTATTCTTTCTACGATCAGGCAGCAGACACCTCCCACACAAACTGGAGCCCATGAAATTTTTTACACACTTGACTAGGCATCATTGACCAAGCCTCTAAGCTATGTGGTACAGACCACACATGATATCAAAAACCTTTTACCCTCTATGACATTGTGTATGCTGAACCCTGCCCCCGCCCACACACACACACAAAAAAGAACCTTTTATCCTCTATGACATTCTGTTCCTATTTTTTTCGAAATTGCTCAAGTGAAAAAGGGAACTCTGAGTACAAATTCCATACCAAATTACCAATTCACAATCATGTGATGTAGGAATAACCACACCAATACACAATATGTGATGTAGGAATAACCACAGAAAACAAGAACCAGTAGACTTACAATAGAAGGCTGAGTGCTCAATTCATCCTTTGAAATGACGGTAGCATTCCATTCGCCAATCTTCTCCATAAGGCCTGGAAAATTGGGTTTTGGTGCAGTGAACCGCACCCTCAGTGGTGCACGCTTTATGGGGAAGTGCTCTGTGAGCTTCTTGATAACTTTTAGAGCCTACAAGACCAAAGTAGCTTTAACTTACACAGCGTGCCACAAAGTAGATACCCAAAGCAGAGACTTAAGTCAATCCACAGTCAGTGTGCCACATCAGCGTACAGAGCGAGTTAGGACAACAATCGAACTAAGGCGAAAGTAGTCATTTGACCACAACAAAAGGCCAAAAGGAGGCTTCCAAGTTGTACTACTTCAAAGCTGAGTCAAAGAAAATCAGTGAGAAAAAAATAACTCGGTTGCTATCAAATGACTACTTCCGCCTTAGTTTGATTGCATATTCAACCGACATAGTAATGTCAACACATGATCTATCCGTTCCTAATCTTCGGGACAATACTAGTCTAATAAACGCATTTGATTTGAGAAAAATAACTAAGGTTCACCAGATTTGAGAAGACGTTTACAATCCGTAGAATAGCTTTTGTAAAGCATGGCATAGGTGAAAGGTTCATTGTATATATAACTCACTGATTGTTGCCAAGCCAGATCTTGA